AACACTATTATCAGTAAGTATTGTACATTGGAGAAAATGTCAACACCATTATCAGTAAGTATTGTACATTGGAGAAAATGTCAACACCATTATCATTAAGTATTGTACATTGGAGAAAATGTCAACACCATTATCATTAAGTATTGTACATTGGAGAAAATATTAACACCATTATCAGTAAGTATTGTATATTTGCTCTTGAATGAATTTTTCATTATATCAAAAAGTTTTCAAAATCAAATAAATGCATTAGAAGTTTTGCATTGTGCTCATTATTGTGCATAAGGTATTTTTACTTTCTGCCTTTTGTGATCATGTATGCATTGTGCACTCTCTTCATAAGTTCTAGCAGCAATTGTCAAACTCCTGCACAATAAATATTATGAGATTTACAATCACCAAGAAAATTCAGGCCTAGTGTCAGTGCATTCTTTTTATAGCTCATATAGAAGTTTTCCACTTCTGTTTAGTTGAACATAAACTAGATAATGAGTAATTACAGTTCATAGTTCAGTATTCCATTCTCAAGTTTTTTAGACTATTATGATGCTTTGATTTACCTGTTTACAATTTCAGTTAGATTTTCTTATTTAATTCTTTTGTGGTGGGAAGGGTGCAATCCTCCTCAAAGACAAAATAGTACCGTGAAATTAAACAACTTGCAGTAAATAAACTTACTGTCATTTTTTCACACTCTTAAAAAAAATCAGTGTTTTTTGAAATGTAAAAGCTGTAAATTCATACAAATATTACATAATAACTATGGTGTTTTGTTTGCAGACACTGCATTATCTCTAAAAAGTAATTCTTAAGTTTCAAGCTATTTCATCCAGGATTTTTTTTCATGGGCCTCAGACTTAATTAACTTAGCATATCTATCTTCTTTTTCTTCCATATGTGTCTTATTGTGTTTGAAGAGGCTTGTGTTTAACCCTGTTTGCCCTAGGTGCCATTTTAAAATTCTTTTCTGTTGGTACTGTGTTACATTATAATTTCATAGTTTTATGTTATCTAAGTTTTATTTCTTTATTTTAAAAGAAACATGTAAACCAACAAGTAAAATTTCAGTTTTTGCTGTCACATGATTAGCTCACAGTTACAATTTCTTAACTCTAAGAACTGGAAAAGTAGCTGTCTGTCTGCACTCTATAGGCTTCCTTCAGATGGCCAAAGTACACATACACGTGATTTACATTGTAAATACTTTCTTAGTTTAAGGTCAGCCATGCCCTCTTGCAAAGTCGAAACTGTGTTACTATGCAACAGTTTGCAGTTGAATGGCATGTTTATAACCAACAGAAAGACCAAAATTTCCCTTAAATATTGGTACTGAAAGCATATGTTTAGTCTTTTGTTTTAAAATGGGATGAAATGAAGCTAATTCCATTGTTCTCGCAAGGAGCACGTAACGTTTGGCAAGTTTCTCACCTTATATGTGTTAGTTTACTAGACAGTTAATTACATTTATGTTTTACTTTTATATTTTTAATTAATTATGTATTATTTGTGTTTTAAAATGCATATTTGAAAGATTTAATGATTTTTATATATTTAACTTGTTGCCTGGATTGCTTAAAGCTTATAAACAAGATGGTGTGTGTACACACCATCTTATTTAGCGAAATGCGTGAGTCCCTGGGAGTCAGCGGGTAATAACTACCGAGCCTTGCAGGCACGAGCTGACATATCTCCATGAATGATAAAAAGCATAGAATTGAAAAGGAAAAATTAACAAAAATAAACTAAGTGAAAAGATAAAGATGTGAAATTACACACTAGACAAAGAAGACTATTTTAGTGTATTTCTATGATAAAGATGTGAGATTACACATGAGACAAAGAAGACTATTTTAGTGTATTTCTATGATAAAGATGTGAGATTACACACGAGACAAAGAAGACTATTTTAGTGTATTTCTATGATAAAGATGTGAAATTACACACGAGACAAAGAAGACTATTTTAGTGTATTTCTATGATAAAGATGTGAGATTACACACGAGACAAAGACTATTTTAGTGTATTTCTATGATAAAGATGTGAGATTACACATGAGACAAAAAAGACTATTTTAGTGTATTTCTATGAAGAGTTGAAAGGTATGTACATATTTCCATTTGTTAATTTTAAGCATTTCATTGCACTGTATATTGATGATAATAGTATTAGTGATATAGTAGAGAAAATAAAATATAAGTATTTACCTTAAAAAAACTTTTGATATTCATTTATGAGATTCTAGCGATTATACAAATGAAATGTGAAAACTGTAATATAAAAAATAGTATTTTTATACTTCATATAAAAATCACCCTGCAGGTGAACTACATTAAATATCAAATTTTTTAATAGAAATAATAAAAAAAATCAAAATTAAATGTTTTATTTTGCTGAAACTACATACTTTTTGAAACATTCTTGGCAAAACTTAAACAATTTCATCCACGGGTTTTATTTTTGGAATGAAATTGACGAGAGTGACGTTACTGACTAAAAGAATTAGTAGCCGGTAGTCATAGGGTTAATTTCTGTAGTTGGTATTGTATTTAATATGTTGATCATTATGTATGTATGTATGTTTAAAAGGCTCATTAAGCCTCCCCCATTTTGTTTCTGGGGCATGATTATTTGCAATAAATTAGTTATAACTAACAAAATTTGATTAGTCAGCAACAACAGGCCATTTCTATTTTTATATATTAATTCCACATGCAACCATATCATATATCATTTCAGAATAATGTTCAAGTTTTTTGAAAAATTATATTTTCTAATAATTCATGCAAGCAATCCTCTACACAAGGTAAGGATTTTATATTGTTTAACTCTATTACAGCTAGTGTGTACCTTGCAGGTATCGAGTACACGTTTATGTATGAGATTACAAAATCTATGTAAAAGATGTAATTCTATTTCAACATTTAATTTGTGTGCTTCACAAAGCAAAATGGAAATGTCATCTATTTGCTAAGAAGCTAACATGCTTTGGAAATACAATGATCCATGTCTTGTTTTTCAAGTCATTTTTCCTTGTTTTTCAGTGGTTTTAATACTACAACTCTGCATTGCCAGCTTTATATGATGTTAGAACATGGGGATTGAACAATTACTAATTAAGCTCTGCTTTGAAAATAGCTCTTGTCACGACAAAAAAAAAAAGGCTGTGAAAGTTCTAATCTGAAATATAGAATAAGTAAAGTATTTTACCAGTAATTTTTGATTTGTTGATATACTTGCTACCTGGAGCTCCTGTAGGAATGAACAAAGAATCATAATACAAAGTTATTAAAACTTAGGAACAAAACCACAGACATTGGATGTGTTTATGGGTTCTTTTGATATTCTTTTTCATTTGTAATAATGTTTCTTGTGTTAAATTATGTCTTTGAAAGTAACAGGAATATTCTTCTATGACAGGAATCAGGTAAGTTAAGTTAGGTTTAGTGAGTATAATAAGTGGTGTCAAACTATTTAGGTGGCAAAAGTCCTTTTGTTATTGAATATATTGTGAAGTGTATCTTTTTTTTCTGTTAACTCTGTATGATCTTTACTAAAACTTGACTTTTTTTTCTGAAGCATTTATTTCAAAGAATTAACTTTGGGAAGGTTGATATTTTATTTAAATTTTTTTCAGGATGCCAAAAAAATTCCTACAGAAAGAAAGGCTCCAGCAGATGTGACACTCACATATAGTGTAAGTATTATCTTAGTTAAGCCCCTGCAGATGAAACACTTACGAACATTGTATTACCTTAGCTAGTTAATGTAGCTCATTGCCATAAAAATCAGATATATAATGATAATTTATGTGAATTGAAATGCAAAAGATTGGTCATTCAATCTGTACTGCACATAATAGTTTCAAACACTCGTGTCTTAGTTGACACTGAATTCAGTGTACTTTAAGTTCAAGAATCATTGCCATACATGTTTTTCTTGCATACAAAGTGGCCAGGTAAATGGAAGCTAGCCAACCATAAAGTGTCTTAAGAGTATTGTTAGTAGAATGTGAGACTACATCTGAACCTATAGTATAGTTGTTTGGAAACCTGGGCAAGACAAACCATTATAAATGTTAATTCTAGTTTTCTGCAATCATAGGGTACAAGCGTGAAAATTGAATCGTATGTTCTGAGCCACATCTGGATTGTTTTGATGGTGCATAGACGATTAGATACACTTTCTATACAGGATCAGTTGATGTTTCCACACTATAGCTTTTAATGTTTTGTGTATCTTGACAAAATTTGGCAGTTTTTCCATAAACATACATGTCTTTTGAACACAAAAAAATCAATTTTTTTATTAAGTAGTATTACTAAAGATTTGTTCATTAGTATGAGTGGTGACTACTCTGAATGAAAAGTGACTTTCATATTAAGGTTAAAAATACTTTTTCTTTACCTGAACATTTTCAAATTTCATTTGCGTAATCTCTAAAACATCTTAAATAAATATCAAACTTTTTTTTTTCCAGTAAAACTTTATATTGTATCTGTTATATTATTTACCCTACTTTGCTTGCATTTGGTTAGTTTAATCAACCTTGTAACCACCATAAAAAAATACAAAATAAATCTAAATTACTGTCTTTTTTTTCTTTATAGAATGACTGTAAATTGTAATAGTAAACTACAATTGTCTATCCTAAATAGCTTAAATCTCATAACAGTATACATCTGTTTATACTTATATTTTATTGTTCTTTGAACTGTGTTTAACTAATAATCCCACCACACAAGTTGTAAATCACTTGGGCAATGCGTAGCTCACATTATCGTACTGAATGATGCAACATGCAAGCTGCTTGTGAGCATACTTCCTGAAGAATTATTATAATTTTTTATTATTTTACCTAATCTATCCTAATAAGTTTCTAATTTTTACATTTTAGTTACTTTTACTAACAAAAAGTAAAAAAATATTCATGAAAAACAAGAAATATAGTACATATGTTTAATTTGTTGTTGTTTTTTTTTATGTCAGTTACTAATGAAATTTAATTATTTAATTTAATTTAATTATTTAATTTTTTAATTATGATGGTGTACCAGTACACTAAATAATTTTATTTCCTTAAATAATGCAACTAAGAACACACAATAATAACATGCACAAAGCAAACAATGTCCTATAACTATTATAATTTAACTGGCTTTTTAACTAAGACAAGAGGGGCTTAAATTTATTCACTTAAATGTTTAATCTGAACATCATGAGATAAACTTTCAAACTGAAGACGGAATTGACTACTGAAAACAAACCTAGTATGTCATTTACATTTGATAAATTAGAACTTTGACTTTCTAGTGTTTATAAATGATATAGTATAAAATGTCAGGGATAATTGTTGGCAGTTTATGAAAGAGGGTGTGGTTAGTGAGTCTGATTTTCTAGTTTATGACTCCAAAAACAAATAAGATTGAATGCTATAAAAAGTAAACTTTGCCTTAGTAATATCTGTATTATAATGAGTCATTAATGTTAAATTCTCTACTTAGGAGAGGGGTGGTAAATATTTGAATTAGAAAAGGGGAGGATCTAGAGAACAAATTGAAATAATCTCATACTTTAAAAATATGCTTTATAAAATTAAGAACTTAAAATTTGATATGTTATCTACTTTTTGATGCCATCTTTATTCCTAAACACTGATGTCAAAATAGTTTAATTAAGTATTGAACATTAAAAGGTTGTGACATGCACTTTGACATACTTATTGCAATACGATTAACCTTATCACTCCGGGTATCCTTTGCTGTGCGTGACATAAGGTTTTAGTGTCTTACATTCAAAATTTTATTAAACTACTTTTTGTTTATGTTATACCAATTAGAATAACATAAAAGCTTACCTTATAATCCATATTTTAATAGTATACAAGTTTTAAGTTTTTTAATTCTACAAGAGAATATTAAAAAAAAATTCCTGAATATCCACTAGTGTGAACCACGTGACACATTTTGTCTTAGCATGTCATCATCCCTAATTTATTCATCACCCCTCAAAAATGTATGAAATTAAACATAAATTACTCTCAAAAAATTGTTGTTTCTCAGACAAACCATAACTTTTAGTCTTCAATTTTGTTTGGTTACAGTGCTATCGAATAGAAAATCAGACCCCCTCCTGCCACACCCACCCATCACATCCTCTCTTTCAGAATTTGTTAATAGTTACCTCTTACGTTTAATTCTATATTACCTATAACCAATAGAAAGTCAAGCTTTTCATCTATCAAGTGATGTATTGTTCTGAATGGTTAAATGTCAATATCACTCAGAATACCAGTATTGTTCCCGTAGGAAAGTTAACTACTAGCTTGGATGAATTTGTGACTGCTCTTATCGCATAGTTAGAAAGTCAGGAAAATTTTGAGAAGTAAGTGAATTTGTCTACTTTTGTGTGTTATTAGTCTATATTCTTTGGTGCATTATTTAATTAAATAAAAATTATTAAGTGCATTACTATCTATAGTATAAAAAATTTGAGTTAACTCTCTTCATAACCCGACAGCAAGAAAAAAGATTAGATAAGTACTTTATTTCTTGTTTTTCATATCTATTATTATCATAAAAGTAACTAAAATTAAAAATACAGATCTTTTAAAGTTGTTTAAGACTAGATTAGGTAAAATAAGTAATAACAATATAATTAAAATGGTTCACAAGGCATGCATGGAAGCAGCTTGTGGGTAATGTAATTCGATAGAGTAACATGAGCTGCACTTTCCCTGAGTGATTTACAACTTATAATGGCGAGGATAGTAGTTGGACATGGTTCAAAAGG